TCTTTGTACAACTACTTCAAGATAATAAATAGTAAAAAGGCCATCCCAGGCAGGAAAGTCTGTGAGCCTAATCTCCAATAAACTACTCAGAAAAAGTCAAAAGTGGCATTGTGGCTCAAGCCGTAGAGTGTTAGCCTTGAGCACAAACAGGCTCAGGGACAGCACCCAGACACTGAGTTCAAGCCCCCAAGACCAGTACAACAAAAATAAGTGGAAGTAAGAATTGGGGTGGTAGAGGTGTTTAGCATGCACCAGATGCATAGTTCAATCCCCAGGTTCACAGGAAAGAAAAAGTGAAAGCTAAACACTGTATGAAACAAAGCTGCCCAGAAGGCTGACCGGGATTACTGACAGCTGCCTGAGCTCTCTTCCCCTAAATCTGTCTCATTGTCTTGCCAACCCCTGGAAGCCTGAACTTCAGAAGGTCTCCTCTCAGCTGGCAGGCTGAGCCAGGAATGACGTCAGAGGAGGGCTGGCCAAGCAAGCCCAGAGGATCTGGGAACTGCTTTCCCCTTCTTCCAGCCAGCCGGGAATCTCTCTCTCACTCTCCCAGCTGGGATGCGCGGTCCTTTCTCAACCCCCATCCCCGCGCCCCTCTCCCACACTGCCCGCCCACCACAGGCAGCTTGGTTCATTTTCAGGAAATTAGACCCGACTAGCAAAAGGAAGAAGGGAGGGGGGACGCTCAGACACATACTTGCCCAAACTCTGCCTTAAAAACCAAAGCCCTCTACACTCTAGATCGGATCTCTCCTCCCCTAACTGGCCAGCCTGACATACATTCAAACTACAATCCGGTTGCTTCCCACTCGGCCCCCAAACTCCCCAAACGTTAAGCGGCCGGCCAAGGCGTTAAGGCCACTGGGGTGGGGATCGGAACCTCTCTTTCAGGTAGTCTGGGGGAGCAATCCAGACCCAAGCTGCCCCTCTCATCACCGGAACGGCCCGACGTTCAGGTTCAGATGGGGGCCACTTTAGCTACGTTACTGGTGTGAGTGCGTGTGTGGCTGTGTGTGTGTGGGGGGGGGTTGCAATCCCTGCCCAGGCTCGGGGGGCGGGTGGTCTAGGAACTAGGGTGCGCAGCTCGGGTCAGGCCAGCCCGCACCGCGGGGAAAGCTGCGCGCCCAGGCATCTACCCACCGCGTCGTCCCATCCACATAAAGGTGGTTCCCCCACCCACCCACCCACTTTCCCCCGAGCGCCCCCCGCAAACCCACGCGAAGCCAACAAAGGGCCGAGGAGGCACCCGCGCGTGCAGCGCCGCACGCGGCACTGTGTACACATTGAAAAGAGCCTGCAAAGTTTCAGGCCGGGAACTTGAGCTCCCTCTAGTCGGAGATCCGAGCCGGAGCGCCGATTTCATTCCCCTCCAACCGCCACAACAAAGAACAGAGAGAGGCAGGAGCGCGCAAAAAGGCAAGGCAGCGGGCAGAGCAGCAGCCCGAGGGCCGCACAAAGGCCGGGGGAACGCTGGGCTCCCACGCCTGCCCCGCGCCCCGAGACCCTTCCAGATCCCCCCACTCCAACCCGGTGAAAAGCCGACGATTTCCAACCCCGCGGTGCGGAGAGCAGAGGTGGGCGCCAGGACACCAAGGAAGAAGAAACTTGGCTGGAAACCAAAGCAAGGACCACGGGCCCCGCGGGCTGAGGAACCCCCGCGTTCCCTCGGCGACTCCACCAAGCCCGGAATGCGCGCTGCCGTTCCCGCCCCGGGACTTACCGTTACACCACTGGAATGGGTGCATCAATGAAGTCTCCGTCGGCTTCCTCCGGGGAACGAAAGCGGGCGGCGGGGGGGGGAGGTGAAAGGCCGGCGGGGGGTGGGCGCAGCGGCGGGGAACCGTCCGTGCGCAGCACGCGCCCGGGGCGCTGTACGGCGCGCTGCCTTCCTCCCGAAGTTCAACGCCCGCCGGAGCCGGGAGGCTCCCACTAGTTCTCAGAGCAACAAAGAGGCAAGGCGAGCAAACAAACAGAAAGTCTCCCCGGGTCAAGCACCCGAGGGGAAAGGCACGGAGGAAAAGGGCCTGGGCTGGGTGGAGGAGTTACGGGGGGCGACACGGGGGTCCCCGGATCGTCGGAGCTCTCGGCGCGCGGACGAAGCTGGGCTCGGGTCCCACGGTGCAGACGTGAGCGCACGGCGAGCCTTAAAACCCACACAGGGCGGTGCACGCCCTCTCTCAGTGACTGACCCCGCCCCCTGGAAGCCCCGCCCCACTCGTCACGCGGCCCCCAGCCAATGGGAGCTGTCCTCCGCTCCTGGGCATCTGCAGGCTGGTCCCTCGCCTTTGAAGAGGGAACATCCTAGCCCCAGGCGAAGGTGGGGGGGGGGTGCCCACCACTAACCCAACCCCCGGGCGAGATTCCAGTCTAAAGAAAAGGCCCAGATGCCTGGTGGTGACTGGCTGTCGAGGGAGGTCTGGAGGAAAGTGGTTAGGGCCCCTTGTTTTCCGCCTCCAGCTCTTACACAGTTTATTTTCTACAGCTCCTTGGGAAACCTGTCTCGGGCCAGAGTTCTGTTTCTGCTGCCTGGACAGTGACTAGGTTGTGGGTGGCAGCTAGAGAGAGGGTGGAGAAACAGGCAAGAGAGCGAAGTCGGTGAATTACAAAACAGAGCTGTGCAGGGGGTTCGTTGTCATCTCACTTCTGGCCAGTGCCTTATTCTACGAACAGGGAAATTAAGGTCTGAAATTGAAGGCCTGTGACTGGTCAGAATTCCAGGTGCTTGGATTGCAGATAAAAACAAACAAAACCTTACAGGGGCTGGGAAGGTGGCTCAGTGGTAGAGCGCTTGCCTTGCATGCATGAGGCCCTGGGTTTGATTCCTCAGCACTACATAAGCAAAAAGAAAAACCGGAAGTGGCGCTGTAGCTCAAGTGGTAGAGCACTCGCCTTGAGCTGAAGAGCTAAGGGACAGCACCCAAGCCCAGAGTTCAAGCCCCACGACCGACAAAAAAAAAAAAAAAAGAAAAGCTTTAGGAAGTGACAACCGTTTTGCTTCTATTACAGCTGAATATCTTATTCTGAATGATTTTTTTTTGTTAAGGCCAGAGAACTCCAGCCCCAGAGAATAGGGTCTTGGAAAAGAGGTTGCTTTCTCTGTGAAAGAGGTTGCTTTCTCTGTGAAGCCAAAGTACTATTAGATCCATGGATCACTTTAAGAAGTGGAGGTAGGGAGGGGCTGGTGGCTCACACCTATAATCCTAGCTATTCAGGAGGCTGAGATCTGAAGATTAATGTTAGAAACCAGGCTGGACAGGAAAAGCCTTGAGACCCATCTCCAAATAACCACCAAAACCCACTTGGTGATGTAGTTCAAGTGGTAGGGAAAAAAATCTTAGGTGCAGTACCCAGGCCAGTTCAATGGGGCTGGGAAGGTGGCTCAATGGTAGAGTGCTTGCCTGACATGCTTGAACCCCTGGATTCGATTCCTCAGCACCACATAAGCAGAAAAAGCTGGAAGTGGCGCTGTGGCTCAAGTGGTAGAGCACTATCCTTGAGCTGAGGGACAGCGCCCAGACCCAGAGTTCAAGCCCCACAATAGACAAACAAAAACCATGCTGGTGGCTCACACCTGTAATCCTAGCTACTCAGAAGGTCACAAACTTTGTAGACCATGACAATTTGCCTTGTGAAGGTTAAAAATGTGTGTGTGACTAAGTATCACTATTCCACAATACTGTGAAATGTGAAATTTATGTAATCACCTTATCACAATAAAAAAAAAAGGAAGAGAAGGGATGGGTAAGAAATGATGGGTGAGCCGGGCGCTGGTGGCTCACGCCTGTAATCCTAGCTACTCAGGAGGCTGAGATCTGAGGATCGCGGTTCAAAGCCAGCCCGGGCAGGAGAGACCGTGAGACTCCTATCTCCAATAAACCACCAGAAAACCGGAAGTGGCACTGTAGCTCAAGTGGTAGAGCGCTTGCCTTGAGCTGAAGAGCTGAGGGACAGCGCCCAGGCCCAGAGTTCAAGCCCCACGACCGACAAAAAAAAAAAAAAAAGAAATGATGGGTGACAATGTTGTCAGACACCTTGTATTCATATACTGTTTTGTAGAATGGGAACTTCTTTGTACAACTACTTCAAGATAATAAATAGTAAAAAGGCCATCCCAGGCAGGAAAGTCTGTGAGCCTAATCTCCAATAAACTACTCAGAAAAAGTCAAAAGTGGCATTGTGGCTCAAGCCGTAGAGTGTTAGCCTTGAGCACAAACAGGCTCAGGGACAGCACCCAGACACTGAGTTCAAGCCCCCAAGACCAGTACAACAAAAATAAGTGGAAGTAAGAATTGGGGTGGTAGAGGTGTTTAGCATGCACCAGATGCATAGTTCAATCCCCAGGTTCACAGGAAAGAAAAAGTGAAAGCTAAACACTGTATGAAACAAAGCTGCCCAGAAGGCTGACCGGGATTACTGACAGCTGCCTGAGCTCTCTTCCCCTAAATCTGTCTCATTGTCTTGCCAACCCCTGGAAGCCTGAACTTCAGAAGGTCTCCTCTCAGCTGGCAGGCTGAGCCAGGAATGACGTCAGAGGAGGGCTGGCCAAGCAAGCCCAGAGGATCTGGGAACTGCTTTCCCCTTCTTCCAGCCAGCCGGGAATCTCTCTCTCACTCTCCCAGCTGGGATGCGCGGTCCTTTCTCAACCCCCATCCCCGCGCCCCTCTCCCACACTGCCCGCCCACCACAGGCAGCTTGGTTCATTTTCAGGAAATTAGACCCGACTAGCAAAAGGAAGAAGGGAGGGGGGACGCTCAGACACATACTTGCCCAAACTCTGCCTTAAAAACCAAAGCCCTCTACACTCTAGATCGGATCTCTCCTCCCCTAACTGGCCAGCCTGACATACATTCAAACTACAATCCGGTTGCTTCCCACTCGGCCCCCAAACTCCCCAAACGTTAAGCGGCCGGCCAAGGCGTTAAGGCCACTGGGGTGGGGATCGGAACCTCTCTTTCAGGTAGTCTGGGGGAGCAATCCAGACCCAAGCTGCCCCTCTCATCACCGGAACGGCCCGACGTTCAGGTTCAGATGGGGGCCACTTTAGCTACGTTACTGGTGTGAGTGCGTGTGTGGCTGTGTGTGTGTGGGGGGGGGTTGCAATCCCTGCCCAGGCTCGGGGGGCGGGTGGTCTAGGAACTAGGGTGCGCAGCTCGGGTCAGGCCAGCCCGCACCGCGGGGAAAGCTGCGCGCCCAGGCATCTACCCACCGCGTCGTCCCATCCACATAAAGGTGGTTCCCCCACCCACCCACCCACTTTCCCCCGAGCGCCCCCCGCAAACCCACGCGAAGCCAACAAAGGGCCGAGGAGGCACCCGCGCGTGCAGCGCCGCACGCGGCACTGTGTACACATTGAAAAGAGCCTGCAAAGTTTCAGGCCGGGAACTTGAGCTCCCTCTAGTCGGAGATCCGAGCCGGAGCGCCGATTTCATTCCCCTCCAACCGCCACAACAAAGAACAGAGAGAGGCAGGAGCGCGCAAAAAGGCAAGGCAGCGGGCAGAGCAGCAGCCCGAGGGCCGCACAAAGGCCGGGGGAACGCTGGGCTCCCACGCCTGCCCCGCGCCCCGAGACCCTTCCAGATCCCCCCACTCCAACCCGGTGAAAAGCCGACGATTTCCAACCCCGCGGTGCGGAGAGCAGAGGTGGGCGCCAGGACACCAAGGAAGAAGAAACTTGGCTGGAAACCAAAGCAAGGACCACGGGCCCCGCGGGCTGAGGAACCCCCGCGTTCCCTCGGCGACTCCACCAAGCCCGGAATGCGCGCTGCCGTTCCCGCCCCGGGACTTACCGTTACACCACTGGAATGGGTGCATCAATGAAGTCTCCGTCGGCTTCCTCCGGGGAACGAAAGCGGGCGGCGGGGGGGGGAGGTGAAAGGCCGGCGGGGGGTGGGCGCAGCGGCGGGGAACCGTCCGTGCGCAGCACGCGCCCGGGGCGCTGTACGGCGCGCTGCCTTCCTCCCGAAGTTCAACGCCCGCCGGAGCCGGGAGGCTCCCACTAGTTCTCAGAGCAACAAAGAGGCAAGGCGAGCAAACAAACAGAAAGTCTCCCCGGGTCAAGCACCCGAGGGGAAAGGCACGGAGGAAAAGGGCCTGGGCTGGGTGGAGGAGTTACGGGGGGCGACACGGGGGTCCCCGGATCGTCGGAGCTCTCGGCGCGCGGACGAAGCTGGGCTCGGGTCCCACGGTGCAGACGTGAGCGCACGGCGAGCCTTAAAACCCACACAGGGCGGTGCACGCCCTCTCTCAGTGACTGACCCCGCCCCCTGGAAGCCCCGCCCCACTCGTCACGCGGCCCCCAGCCAATGGGAGCTGTCCTCCGCTCCTGGGCATCTGCAGGCTGGTCCCTCGCCTTTGAAGAGGGAACATCCTAGCCCCAGGCGAAGGTGGGGGGGGGGTGCCCACCACTAACCCAACCCCCGGGCGAGATTCCAGTCTAAAGAAAAGGCCCAGATGCCTGGTGGTGACTGGCTGTCGAGGGAGGTCTGGAGGAAAGTGGTTAGGGCCCCTTGTTTTCCGCCTCCAGCTCTTACACAGTTTATTTTCTACAGCTCCTTGGGAAACCTGTCTCGGGCCAGAGTTCTGTTTCTGCTGCCTGGACAGTGACTAGGTTGTGGGTGGCAGCTAGAGAGAGGGTGGAGAAACAGGCAAGAGAGCGAAGTCGGTGAATTACAAAACAGAGCTGTGCAGGGGGTTCGTTGTCATCTCACTTCTGGCCAGTGCCTTATTCTACGAACAGGGAAATTAAGGTCTGAAATTGAAGGCCTGTGACTGGTCAGAAT